ATGTACTCTGCATATAAGTTAAATAAGCAGGGTGACAATATACAGCCTTGACGTACTCCTTTTCCTATTTGGAACCAGTCTGTTGTTCCATGTCCAGTTCTAACTGTTGCTTCCTGACCTACATACAGATTTCTCAAGAGGCAGGTAAGATGGTCTGGTATTCCCATCTCTTGAAGAATTTTCTACAGTCTGTTGTGAGCCACACAGTCAAAGACTTTGGCATAATCAATAAAGCAGAAGTAGATGTTTTTCTGGAACTCTCTTGCTTTTTTGATCATCCAGCAGATGTTGGCAATTTGATCTCTGATTCCTCTGCCTTTTCTAAATCCAACTTGAAATCAGTTGTTACACCATGAAAATTCTCCACCATATTCTTAGTCAAAGCTTTTCTGATATCCAAGCTAACAAAATCCAGTTTGTTAATTATTTTTGGTGGTTTTCTGCTACCTCATTCACAGTCTAAGAAGTGCTTTAGTCTAACCAGTAGTTAAGAAGGACTTAGAAAGAGTGAATTTTGCGCTCTGTGAATTAGAACAAAGATGCAGCACAGCAAGATAATGTTTTTAAGTAGAAAGAGGAATGCTCCCTACACATACACTTATTTATGTAACATGTATATATTTATTTACTTTTGTTTGACTGTCAAAAATATATATATAATACAAAGATGTCCTCATAGTCATGACAAGACTTTGTTTCTCTTATACGTCATACTCCTATCTAGAGCTCTGTCTACTTATTCTGAGTTCTGCCTGTCCTGTATTTATAATTCACTTTTAATCATATTGGCATCTACTTTCCATGACATTTAAGAGTTCATTGACTTATTTTGCTTTTGCAGTGCTTCATTCTCCACTGTGTTACCCTTTGCCTGTGGTGGAGGAAAGTGCAGCATTTACTGTAGGTGCCCAGCAAGGAAGGAGTCCAGGAAGCCAGTGCTTCAGAGCCCTGAACTCCCTCATGGGTGTCAGGGAGGCATTTTTCAAGGCCACGTGAGGGAGGGGGTCGCAGGGCAAGTGATCAACTTGTGCACAAGTGTTTGATTGCTGATGGTGAGGCTGTAGGGTGACATCACAGGGGTGAACATAATCAGTCCTCAGGCTCCAGTAGGTCTGGGGGCTGAGTGCTCACGGTTCTCCTGTAGTTGACTTCTTCCATTTGATGGGGGCTCTAGTGGCCTTCCCTGGTGGCTCAGAGGTTAAAGCGGCTGCCTGCTTTGATCCCTGGGTAGGGAAGATCCCCTGGAGAAGGAAATGGCAACCAACTCCAGTATTCTTGCCTGGAGAATCCCATGGATGGAGGAGCCTGGTGGGTCCATGGGGTCACAAAGAGTCAGACAAGACTGAGCAACTTCATTTTCACTTTCCTAGTGTCTATAAAAGAAAGCAAATTTGGAAAACTCAGCAGTGGCCACAGGACTGGAAAAGGTCCGTTTTCATTCCAATCCCTAAGAAAGGCAATCCCAAAGAATGCTCAAACTACCACACAACTGCACTCATCTCACACACTAGTAAAGTAATGCTCAAAATTCTCCAACCCAGGCTTCAGCAATACATGAACCTTGAACTTTCAGATGTTCAAGGTGGTTTTAGAAAAGGCAGAGGAACCAGAGATCAAATTGCCAACATCTGCTGGATCATCAAAAAAGCAAGAGAGTTCCAGAAAAACATCTATTTCTGCTTTATTGACTATGCCAAAGTCTTCGAATGTGTGGATCACATCAATAAACTGTGGAAAATTCTGAAAGAGATGGGAATGCCAGGCCACCTGACCTGCCCCTTGAGAAATCTATATGCAGGTCAGGAAACAACAGTTAAAACTGGACATGGAACAACAGACTGGTTCCAAGTTGGGAAAGGAATACGTTAAGGCTATATATTATCACCATGCTTATTTAACTTATATGTAGAGTACATCATGAGAAATGTTGAGCTGGAAGAAGCACAAGCTGGAATCAAGATTGCTGGGAGAAATATCAATAACTTCAGATATGCAGATGACACCACCCTTATGGCAGAAAGTGGAGGAGAACTAAAGAGCCTCTTGATGAGAGTGAAAAAATTGGCTTAAAGCTCAACATTCAGCAAACTAAGATCTTGTCATCCAGTCCCATCACTTCATGGCAGATAGATGGGGAAACAGTGGAAACAGTGGCAGACTTCATTTTTGGGGGCTCCAAAATCACTGCAGGTGGTGACTGCAGTTTTTAAATTAAAAGAAGCTTACTCCTTGGAAGGAAAGTTATGTCCAACCTAGACGGCATATTAAAAAACAGAGACATTACTTTGCCAACAAAGTTCCATCTAGTCAAGGCTATGGTTTTTCCAGTAGTCATGTATGGATGTGAGAGTTGGGCTATAAAGAAAGCTGAGTGCTGAAGAATTGATGCTTTTTAACTGTGGTGTTGGAGAAGAGTCTTGAGGGTCCATTGGACTGCAAGGAGATCCAACCAGTCCAGCCTAAAGGAGATCAGTCCTGAGTGTTCATTGAAAGGACTGATTATTGAAGCTAAAACTCCAATTCTTTGGCCACCTGATGCAAAGAACGGACTCATTTGAGAAGACCCTGATGCTGGAAAAGATTGAAGGCGGGAGAAGAAGGGGACAACAGAGAATGAGATGGTTGGATGGCATCACTGACTCAATGGACATGACTTTGAGTAAACTCTGGGAGTTGGTGATGGACAGGGAGGCCTGGCGTGCTGAAGTCCATGGGATCACAAAGAGTCGGACAAGACTGAGTGACTGAACTGAACTGAATGTTATTCTGAACGTTCTCATTTGTCTCCAGCTTTGATGGCTAGGACAGAAACATTAATAGAGATGGAGCAATTTAATATATGCTCAAATGAAGATTAATCCTTTTACTTCCACCTGCTTCATCTTTTAGTATTTTAGATACATTCAAAAAGCATATAGATATACTGGATAGTCAAATTTGAGCCAGTATGATTATCAAGTCATAAGTAGTTGACAATGCTGAAATCCTCCTGGAGGTTGATGGGACCAGAGAATTGAGCCCTTTGCATTTAACTGGCACACCAGAAATAAGTTGGTTGTGGTTTACCAGCTGTTTGAATGGCTGTCAGTTCTCAGTTTGTGGTTTTTACATTTTTGTTTTAGATCTCAGCAAGGCAATGTCTCAGGATGGTGCTTCTCAGTTCCAAGAAGTCATTCGACAAGAACTAGAATTATCTGTGAAGAAGGAACTAGAGAAGATACTCACCACAGCACCATCACATGAATTTGAAGTAAGGACCCTACAGTGTGTTTTTGCTTTCATCCATCTACATGCTGAGTTGTTATTGCTACCACTGATCATCTAGCCTGAAATAATTATGAAATGTAATGATATATTTTAATAATTAAGATTGCTTAATAATTATGGATTTTCAGTATTTGCTCAGTGTAAAACCTTCTTTTTAATATTTTAAATTCCGGTAAGTTTCTAAAGTTAAAAGAATCATAACAAAGTTACAATTTATTTTTCTGTGTTTTGATATCATTGGGTGGAAAAAATGGATAAGTGTTCAGTTAAAATTGTGAGAAGTTAATTTATCAACCTTATATCCTGGATGCCTTTTCCAAAGAGCCTGTTCTAACAGAACTGGGCTACTCTGACAGCTATGATAGAGGTTTCCCAGAAAAGGCAAGTGTTTACTTTTCTACTTATAAATCAACAGATTATCCTTTTCATTTTCAAATTTAAATTTGTACTTAGTGTTTTGAGGTTAGCTGTTTTTTGTTCTTTCTTGTTCTTTTGGTGAAGATTAATTTGCACTTAAATAAAGTAGAGAACTATATTGGTGAGTAAATGTAGAGAACCAGTCGGAATTCCAGTAGACCGAATGGTATTCAGATTACATGATCCTGGTGGGAGATGGGGAGATTGCTTGTATTCCTTTAAGTATGGTTTCTATTAGCTTTCTTCCTCTTTAGTTTTAAATTGGAGTGTAAAAAAGGCTCTGCTGTACTCCATCTTTTAAAGCTGTAAGAATTTCTCTGAAAGGTATTTTAAATGTACAATATATGTCTATCTTCATTAAATACCAAGCATTCTGTTAGCTATAACAATGACTTCTGTTCTCATAGCACACTAAAAAAGACCTTGATGGATTTCGGAAGCTATTTCACAGATTTTTGCAAGAAAAGGGACCTTCTGTGGATTGGGGAAAAATCCAGAGACCTCCGGAAGATTCGGTAAGTTTTAGATAAAATGTAGGAAAATGTAAGGTAATTTAGAACACTGATGTCACTTTTGGGAGTGGGGTACTATAAGGTACCTGTGAGAACCACCACTTCAGACTTTGAAACTACAGAGGTAGCCTTCTGCCACTTTCCTTTGTTAGACTCATCCAGCCTGTCCTGCAGAGCACTTATGAAAATCTAATCTCCCTATAACACTACGTCATAAGTTAACATCATTTAGTATGAGGCAGTTCTTTTGTTCAGACACATGATAAGAGCTTCATTATGTTCTCTTCCTTCTTTCTCCAACCCATCTAATTTCTCATTGTCCTTAGGGTCATGTACAGACATGAAGTCAGCTACTCAGAGCTCTTCCCATGCTTTCAGTCCATATTTCTAACTGTATTTCCCTTCCCTGCTTTTCTTGAACCAGCCTAACATTCCCTTCACACACATAGGATTTCCCTGCTTCTAGTCTTTTGTGCATGTTGTTTCCTCGGAACACTATGGGCTCTTCACCTGTTAGTCCTACTCATTTTTTGAGGCTCAGTCTAAATGCCTCCACTTCTGTCATCAGCCCCCTTGAAGAAAGCTGCTCTGAAGAGAGGTAGTACAATAGTCTCAGAGGTTCTAATCCTAGCTCTACTGCTTTGAGCTTTATATAAAATGAGAATGATACCAAGTGCTTTCTGTACTTTATAGGGTTGTTATGAGACTCTATTCGGAAACGTATGGAAACATGTTAAACCATGAAACATTTTGCTGTTTGTGGTTATTTCTGTCATACTGTGTGGTACTTAGCTGGCCTAATCAGTAGTGGTGGTTTGTATGTGTGTGTTGTCTTCCTACTAGTCTTTGAGGCCAAGAGACCATGTATCCTGAGGTCAATGATTGATCTAAACAAAGAGATTATTTCAGGGACAGATTAGGTTAACACACTGACTTTACTTTCCTTTCCAGCAATTTTGACCACTGCCGCTTGTGGCACTTTTCACTAAATGTAGAAAAGACTTGATGGAGTGGAATAATTGTATGTAGATAGTTTATCTGTTGTGTAATAAGAGATAATCTAATATTGGTTTAAAAACAGGTTTGTTTTGAGCAGGAGTTTGGTAAACTACTGTCTGAAGGCTATACCACTGCTGTGTTGGTAAAGTTTTATTGGAATATAACTGCATATGTTCATTTGTGTAGCGTGTCCCAGCTGGCACAGTGGTAAAGAATCTGGCTGCCAATGCTAGAGACTCAGGTTTGATTCCTGGGTCGAGAAGATCCCCAGGAGAAGGAAATGGCAACCCCCCACTTCAGTATTCTTGCCTAGAAAATTCCGTGGGCAGAGGAGCCTGGAGGGCTACAGTTCATGGGGTTGCAAGAGTCAGACACGACTAAGCATGCACACATTTTCTTATATACCATATCTGGTGGATTAAGCTAATGGAGTTTTTCATATTTTTTCAAATGAGAAAATCTCAAATATAGTTTACTGGTGAAGAGTACCTCTTTAATGTCTTTTAGTTATTAAACTTTTAAAAATTATGAATTACATGCTCATGGTAAAAAAAAACCTCCCACCTAAGAGTTCACCTTGAGGAGTCTCTCATTTTTGATGTTAAAGTTAAAATTTCTCTTGTCTGTAGTGCTTGTCAATTACAGCATTTTTTTTTTTAGGGTCTTATATTTTAGTCTTTGATTTTCTTTGCTCTGGTAATATATTGTGATTTATTTTTTTGTTTTTAAATCATAGAATTAATCATATTTTCTCTTGAAAAAAGTAGAGCAATCTTCTGGATAGGTTATATAATTTTAAAAAGGATCTAGTTGTAAATTCAGTCAGATTAAAAAAGAGAATGTTTGGGAGCAGGCCTAAAATTACAATAAAAAATTTAGACATTATGTATTTTTCCACTTTAAATACTTAATATTTTTGCTTGAAATTTATTCCTCATTGATATAGCCTCACTTTTCTGATTAATGACATACCTGGGGATGTGGTTTTATTCTTAATTCTTGCTGACTTGCGATTTTTTTTTTCTCCTTAGACAAACTTAGCCTTTTGATGATAGAGTCTACCTTGAAGGAAGACCCCAAAATTTGTTACTTTCAGTATATTTTATGATTCAAGATTCTGCTTTGCCAATAGAGAAAGCTGCCTTTGTGTATTTTGAGAGATTATAATATATAGTAGGATTTCTTGGAGTGGGGATTGGAGGGTGGGGAAGGAAGCAAGTAGAGGAATCAGAACCACCTAGGGCTTTTTCCAGTTCAGCACCACTATTCCAAACACCACGCCATCAATAGATCCTTTCAGGAGGCTATGCCCCTGCAGTGAACCATGGTTAGTGATAGAAATACTAAGTTGATATAGAAAAAAAAAGAATAGAAAATAGAACTCTGGGTATAATATGATTTTATGAAGTCTTTTCTCTTTTTGTTTATAAAAATGAAATCTCCATTAAAAATATGTCTTTATTTATAAAGCCTAGATTTTTAAAAAGAAATGCTTACAAAAAAAAAAGAAATGCTTACAATCCCATATGCCTGTAATGTTTACAGTTTTGAAATGCAGAGGGAAAAAACAAGTTTGCTCTTTTAACTATGTCATGAGTCTCTTGAGGGCACAAGTGTGTCTTGTATACTCTATGTTAACTACCAGCTTTTGCAAATAGTTCTGAGAATAGAAATTGTAGGTTAATATTCATTCACTTTGCTTCCCCTATGCTCCTCCAGCTCCATCCCTTTTCCCCTCCCCCCACCCCAGCTTTTTTCTCTCTGCTCATAGAGTTTACATAGAGATCAATTTTCCTCTCAAAATAACATTATATAGTATACACAGGTTTTTATTTTTTAAATGAAGGTAATACTTTACGCTCTTAACTGAAAAGAAATTATTGTGGGAGAATAGCCATTTAGAGTGATATTTCTCACGTCATGCTTGCAACAAAGGTATGCACAAAGACATTATTACGACAGAGGATCTATATTTTTGAGTAGAGTTGGCCATCTTGTTTTGTAAATAAAGTTTTATCAGAACACAACCACACTTATTCTTTACATATTGTCTGTGGCTATTACAGTGCTATAATACTTCAATGGCAGAATTAAATACTTGTAATCAAGACCATACAGCTTACAAAACCCAAAATATTTCCTTTCTGATTCTTTATGGAAAAAGTTTGTTGACCCTATTTTAGTATATTTATTTTTAGAAGGTCTTCAGTAGTTTTCCTTAGTTCTTTGGTCCCAGAAAACTGACCTCAAATGCCTTTCTCCCATCCAAGTACTAACCAGGCCCAACCCAGCTTGTCTTCCGAGATGAGACGAGATCCAGCACATTCGGGTATAGACTCAAATGCCTTTCTCAATTCAGATAATAACATTGTAGATAAGACTGCTTTTTTCATAAATAGTAGATTGGAGATTATACTTATAGAGAGACATTGACATTTTATGTTGTCAACTTTTACATACTCACTCTTGCTTACTTGGTTGAATACTTCATTTTAGCTCTGTCAGTGAGTATATGTGTGTGTGTGTGTGTGTGTATATATATATGTGTATATATATATATATATAGAGAGAGAGAGAAGTATAATTGACATACAACATTTTAGTAGTTTCAGATATACAACATAGTGATTTAATTTAACATTTATATGCATCATTAAATGATTACCAGTATAAGTCTAGTTACCATCTGTCACCGTACAGAGTTAATACAATGTTTTTGACTGTATTCTCCATGTTTTTCTTTGCATCCCCATGACTTATTTATTTTATAACTGAAAGTTTGTACTTCTGGATCACTGTCACCCATTTCACTCCCTCTACCCCTTTGGCAACCACTAATCTGTTCTCTGACATACATGTTTTTTGAAAAGACTATTGAGTCCATATTTTATTGACTTATGCTAAGAGGAAGAATGCAATTTATGGAATTATGCCATGGATAATGCTCTGCTCCCATTTTGTGAGTGTTAACTAAATGAATGTAGTAATCAAGATTTCAAAGGAAAGTTTTTTAAAAAGCATGTGAAGGGTAATGTTTAGACTAGTAAGGAGGGACCATCACCATGCACAGGGCTCTCTAGAGAGTCTTTAAGAGGATCTTGTTCATGGCCAAACTTAATGTTTAAGCTTACATGTTCAGGATGGAGAGGGATGGGAAGTAGAAAAAAGAGACGGGAAGACATGGAGCCTACTCCAGGAGGTTTTGGGCCTGACAGTTTCTTTGGAATCACAACTTAAAATCTGTTACACTTGGCTGGCCATGACCTCTGATGCTAATAGAGTACATTGTCATTTATGTGAAAAATATTCTCTAAAGGCTTTTTCATTTAAATAGGAACACAGAATCCCCCCCTCCCCCCGCCGGTTGATTTATGATTGTCATTGTTCTTGTTTTAAAGCCCTCAAAAGGGTGAGAGTGTACTTGTGTATGGGGAGGAGTTATATAAGGTCAGCTCTTTTTGTTTGATCAAGTCAGAGAATTGGTGTGGAAAATATAATATCTTGTGGTATTTAGCTTCAAAAGATTTTTTTGTTTGTCTTGCTCTACAAATTAACTGAGAGCTTTTCTTAGTCTTATCACTACAATATCATTAAAATGTGAACATGTGTGTTTAAATAATAAGACATTCTGAGAAAGTTACAGTGTCCATGTACAGAGTAAAAATACAGATTTTCTTATTTGTTTTTTTGATGGTGAATCACAATATATTCTGCAGCTAACATTTGCACATCTATTTTGAAAGACTTACTGGAGGCAATTTGGCCAAGGATCTGCCATGATGTGACATAGGATGGTTTTCTTTGAACATGGTGAAGATTTCCCAGTTGTTGTCAGTAGCTCGTGGCAAAGCCACTAGTGACTTGTTTTGTGTGTGTGTAAAAATAATATGAGATCCTGAATGTACACATATTCCACAAAAAGAACATAGGTAGTGACATTTAAGGAAATGGTCCTGGGGACACAGGTGGAAAGAGCCTCATCCTTACCTTGATGTAAAATTTTT